GTGGAATCATTCGGGTAGATACCACAGTATCGTACACGCCACTTGCAATCAGAAAACCGCGTGCACATGTGAGTTAAGTTTCCCAAAGTCTGCCCGTGCGATACAAGTTAGTGTCTCATAGCCATAGCTCTCGTGACTCACATGCTTGTAGATGGTGTAGTTGGGTTATACATTCTTATGTGTGAAGAAAGAGAACTCAGAAAGATGTGCACAAGATACACATCGCATGCATTACAGAAGAGAGGAGACCTGCTTCCGCCTCACGTCATAAGACATCTCGATGATAAAGGGCAGTGTGTAGACTTGAAATCCGAGCCACCCCCCCCCCCCCCCCATTCCCCCTCCGCTGTCCTCTTCCTGCTCCTGCTCTTGCTCCTGCTCCTGCTCCTGCTCCTCCTGCTCCCTTCTGCTCCTTCTGCCCTGAGGCACCCTTGTTCGCAGGATCGGTTGCCTTTCGGATGTTTGAGGACGCAGCTCATGGACGAGCGGAGGGCAGGAGGCATTTCGTTCAGGCACAAGACTATTCTACCCGGAGGAGGACGCGGAGTGACATCCCACAAGACAAGGGCCTGAGGCAAACAGCTTTCTACTTCCTCACTCATGAAAAAGAGCCGGGAAGGGAGAAACCCTCTTCTTCTTCTTCTTCTTCTTCTTCTTCTTCTTCTTCTTCCTCTTTCCATACCTCCTCACATCCTTCTCATCTCCCACTTAACGCCCACAAACGGGTCGAGCATGCTCAAGGTAAGACTTGTTGGCCAGCTGGCCTCCAGTTCTCTTCGCTAGTATAGCGTCTTGACTGGATGCAGCAGCAGCAGCTTCTGTCAACTCTTCTCTCGCTCCTCCTCCTCGTCGGGGCTCCTTGAGAAGCAACTCTTCCGCACTCCCCTCGTACGAGCCTGCTCCTCCTCTCCCCTCTAGCTCTGCTCCTTCAGTTAGCTCCCGTTATCGCATCGACGAGGATCGGATGGGCCTTAGCTTCTGGAGCTCCAATGAGAAGGTGAAAAGCAAAAGAGGAGGGGAAGGGAGGGAAAGGAATGGGAGCAGGTGGTGGTGGTGGTGGTGGTGGGTGGGTTGGGTGGGTTGGGTGGGTGCGTGGGTGGGTTAGAGGAGAAGGGGAGAAAGGAAGAGATGGGGAAGTAGAGGGGAACGAAGAGGGCGGGTGTTTGGAGGATTACGAAAGGAATCGGGCAGAGGGAGGAGTGAGGGCGAGGAGGGAGGGAGTGAAGAGCTGAAACTGTATGGCCTTACAGTCGAACGAGCAACTGCTCCATCGTATTAGGAAGAGAGAGGCTGCTGGTCGGAGCCTGCGGAGCCTGGTCTTCAGGCAGGATGCAAAAGATTTCTCGCGCGCAGGTGGCGGAGGGTTGAGGGGGAGCGGAGCGGAGGGGTTGACCCTCATTCCGCAGCTCCTCCTCCACCTCCTTCCTCTTCTCTTGCTCCTCTTGCACGAGGCGGCGATCAGATCCCTGCTCCTGTGGGCCAACCTTGTGCGCAAGGCAGAAGCTGACCAAGCAGAGGCAGGTCCAAAAGGTAGCAGCAGCCAGGCCATGGCTGCCTCGGACGGGAGGAGCCAGGAAGGTGAGCGCAGAGGGGAAGGGAGAGAGGAGTGAGTGAGTGAGGGAGTGAGGGAGGGAGGGAGGGAGGGAGAGAGGTTGAGGAGCAGACTTGTTCTCGACTTCCCTGTCCATGGGTTGCGAGTGGTTGCTGATGGTGCACCCTCATGTGTGCATGGATGAATGTGCATCCCCTCCACCTCCTTTCGCTGCCTCACTGCCGCAAAATTCTTCACAGGCCTCAGGTGCAGGGCAGCAAGTGGAAGCAAGGAAGCTGAAGACAAAGGTGGGGGAGGAGAAGAGGAGGGAGGAGAAGAGGAGGGAGGAGAAGAGGAGGGAGGAGAAGAGGAGGGAGGAGAAGAGGAGGGAGGAGAAGAGGAGGGAGGAGAAGGGGAGGGAGGAGAAGAGGAGGGAGGAGAAGGGGAGGGAGGAGAAGAGGAGGAAGGAGAAGAGGAACCGGCAGACACTGAGAGGATGCAGATGGAGGAGCTGAGGAGGATCAAGAGAGAGACAATGCATGCTAAGGAGAAGGAGACGGTCACGTCCCCCCCCC